AAACAGAAAAATTTGCACTTTTAATTTTTTGTCTAGGCCTAATAGTTCCTGAGATATTCGAGAGAATATGTTTTGCAACCCCAACTTTGGGGGCCATTTTCACCCCTTCAGCATGGACGATGGCCGATAAAAAAAAATACGTGTCAAATATTTTTTTGCGTTCTATATCATACTCAAAGCGCATCAAAATCGGCGATTGGCGATTGGGTAATGTTCCTTGTCAGTATACATCCCGCATACGCCACACAGGCGTTTTGTCAAGTAGTCGTACTTGTGCGAAAATACGACCTCCTCGTGTTTAACACAGATCGCGTCAATTAGATATGCTTTTCCTGTTATTTTCTTCTTTTCTTTTTTTCTTCTTCTCTTTTTTTCCCCTTCTTTCGGTATTTGTGTAGCACGGCCTATAAACTTTCGCGACCACGCAATTCAGGATTTTTCGCAACAATGAGCCTACTTTGTTGCGCATGCGCATTTGGCTCGCATCCTGCTTTCCTAAAGCCGAATTTTGCCTATTACCGATTCTTGATCCTTAACTGGTACGTACGCCTTCTTGATGCGGTCCTTATGTACTATCCTTTTCTGGGGTTTTCCCCTAATTTGTAGCTCTACAGTGTTGTCCCCAACGTTTCTAGATATTATATGCGGGCCAGTGTATTCTTTCTTTAGTTTATTTTCCCGTGGTGGATTGAGTAGGAAGATATTTTCGCCGGTTTGATAATATACAGGACGTATTTTCTTGTCGTAATAAAACTTTTGTCTATGTTTAGCTTGCTGCAAATTGCTCCTGGTTGTGTTCAGAAGATTGTGTAATGTTGTAATTAGGTTGTCAACGAAATCTGGAAAAGTGCTGATGTCTTCTTCGACGACGAATTTTGACGGCTATCTTACTTTTTTGCCAAATATTAGTTCGTGCGGTATAAATTTTGTTCCTTCATGTACGATTGTATTATAGGAAAAGAGAGCTTGAGGTAACCATTCGTCCCATTGTTTTTGTTCTGTTTTCTAATGCTTGAGATATTCGTGAAAAAAGGTGATTTTCGGAAATTTTTAAAGTAATAATCGTACAAGTTATAAGGTTAGAATAAAAGAGGTTTTATTATATATATTTTGGAGATAGTTTGTAAATTTTTATAAATAATTTGGGTTAATAATGGCGGCTGTAGGTACTAGCAAGTAACAACACCATTTCCTTGAATGGGGTACACGGCCGGATTGTTTTTTCATAAACACATGGTCCTAAATCAAAAAATCCAAATTTTTCCATTATTATATGCCTAAATCTATGGAACATCGTACGGAAATTAAAAAATATTAATAATTGTTAGTTTAGTGTATATATAAAGAAAAGTTTCGAAAAAACGGCAAAAAATTTAGCATTAAATTGTTAATAAAAAGTTAAGTAGTTAATTAATCAAAAAAACCGTACGACGTTCACTGAGTTATGTTGTTTTGCACCTCTCCACAAAATTTCAAGTTGATTAGTTGAAAACTTTTCGAGTTATTTGTTCGGCCAGTTCAAATAAAGTGATTTCGAGAAAAACGCGTTTAAAATTTTGATTGCCATTCAGCATAAGAAATTTGTTATGTACCTTTAATCAGCGGTGCCTGCACCATACATTTGGCCTTCCATGTGCACATCCTCCATGTCCTTTTCCTTCCTGCTAGATCTAAGACTCAATCTTGCTATTTTTGTAGCCTCATTCAATGATCGTTCCGAGAACTGTATCCGACGGGCGTCGGCTTGCAAGCAAAAATTGTAGCAATTTTCTCCAACAGTCATATCTAAGGTTTTCATCACTTCCATTATAGTGGATAGTCCATCGTTGAAGATGAAGACAGCCATATTTGCAGCAATATCCAATACATTTTTGCCACTGAATACCGTTTTCGGAGCCATAGACCGCATTGAAACTTTCGTTGCTATTTTGGGTGAAGCCACCAATGCAGCGTGTTAGTAGATCGTTGTTGGTAAGTTCTTCGTATATAGGTTTTATGGCTGTAAACACTATATTTGACATTGGAGATTTGTGCTTATAATTGTCCAATGTATCTGTGGCCTTCGCCTTTTGTCAGGAGCACCAAGAATCCTCTCCAGGTGGGCACTTGTCGTGCTGTGGGTTTTCATTCGTTGATATTTTATGATATAATGTTGCCCAAACACATTTCTCATTTTCTCGACGGATTCATGGTGTCGACGGATGGCTAAACCATAATATATACTTAGTTCATCGATGAGTTTTCCTGTGAGATTGCCTTCTCCTCCAAAACCCTTCGTCTGCTTCTTCAAATTGCGCAATCTCGTGCCCATGCGTTTTTGCACGTGATCGATGCACTCTATTTTTTCTACGTCGATATCGTTATAGGGCTTTGCATCTAAAATACCTTTAAAAACCTTGGTGTCCCGGTTACTAATATAATATTGGTACTTTGCATTGTATAACAATGTGGAGCGTTGGAACATTTCCATCATTGCGTCGACCTCCATTTTACTAGCAGATCCCTCATGATTCACTTGACATTCGTCATCGTGCTGCTTCTTCCATTCTGCATATTCTTCAGTGTCAATTTTGTTTTTCCAAAATTCACATGACTTGCAATATTTGAACTTCACCACCATATCTGTAAGATAAATAGGTAAAATAAAAGTGAAGGTAAGATTTTCACTAAATAAACGGTGGGCGTTTTTATATGAAATACTAAATACTTTACTGAAAACGTTTCACGGCAAATGCCAATACAGGAATGTCTCTCTAGACACGATTGAGGATACCCCCGTCAGCATGGTTGTTTATGGCAGGCACTTAGGCCCAGCGAAGTTTCCCTGAGGAAGGGAAATGCACTGACAGAAAGCACATGGCCCGTGTCGACCGTTTGTCGATTTTCTATTTCCTTACATAATATTATTTTCTTTCCGCGGCGGTATTCAAAGTTTTACGCAGTTGGATTTTCTGCCTCCACGACGCGTTTTACCCATTCTCAGATACACTCGTAGGCACATCGGCTGAATATATTAACTGATCGAATGAAATAAAATAAAGCAGATGTAACTACTGCCCAAGCGGCTAACAAAACTTAACCCTTTGCACTCGGCACGATTCTGGACGTTGGTTACCAGCTACTTGACGCTACTTTGCGGCAGAAACGTGCTTTTACAGACCCTCGTATTATTTAGTATGGTTTTTAACAGACTTCGAAAAAGGAGGAGATTACTCAATTTGATCAGTATATTTTTTTTTTTTTTTTTTTTTTCTATGTGTGCCCGTCGATTACGCCTAGCTGGATGGACCGATCGGAACGAAACCTTTTGCATCTGGTAGGTTCTGACTCCCCATTGGTACCATTATCAAAAAATTTTTTATTTTTTAATTGCAAAGTATTGTTATTGCAAAAAACCGGCAACTTTTGAAATAAACTTTTCTCAATTTTAGTGCGCTTTTAATATCTTATCACGGACATGATTCTGAACAATTTTGTTCATATACAAATTTCGCGGAAAGCTTTAGTTTTCGAGATATTAACGAAAAATTGTTGAAAAGTTTTGAAATCAACTTTGGACGATTTTAATGTCCTTTTAATATGTTATCAGGGGCACGATTCTGAACAACTTTTTCCTTATCCGCAATTAAAGTGAAGCTTTAGTTTTCGAATTATTAGCGAAAACCTACTGTTACTAATATATTGAATTCTGCGTATGCTTCGTGTCTCTGATGGTGTATGAGTCAACATGCAGTCGCCGATTTTCTACTGTTTCTACAAACACGTCTTGTCGGCCGAAAATCAATATACATGTATAACTATTGTTATTGCAAAATTCTATTCTTTGGTATTGTTATGTAAGAAATAACATAACACAGTATCCTATACAATTCTCCCCATTCCACTAAAAAACGTGAAATAAAATAATTTTAAGAAAAAAAATACGCCGACTTCGAAATGCACTAAAAAGTATAAAATAATTTCTATTTCCTAATGAAGTAATTTCTATTTCATTCAATCATACAATTACGTAACAGATATGAATGAAACCTATTTACTCGTTAGGTA